TACAATATATTTTAACCAATCACAATCCGCGTTGATTGTTTAAATCTGAGCCAATCAGAGAGAAACTCCATCATGCTTTTCCGACACGACTTCTTCCCTCACTAACAATGTCCAAAAAATATTCTGATTACTTTTGTAAAACACTACCAGAAAATTATAGCTTCCTTGGTTTCTATAAATATCGTCATCAGCAACCTGACTTTACCTTTTCATACCAAAAGGAGTCACGCAAACTTAGTAGCGATCTCGAGGAATTAACGAAAGAAGATTCAGAAGTAGTTAGAGCTTGCGCAGGTCGGTTGCTACAGAATCATAAGGTTGTTCTTTCTTCATTTATGCTGAGGGTTTTAAACGTGGTTATGCGACTAGGAGGGACATCTGCGTTTGACCCTCTGAAGATCTGCGTTTCGTCGTGTATCACAGGTTCTTTCTTGTGCACGCAACTACGGTGAATATCTGCGTTTATTCACCTTATGGTCTGCGTTCCGTTGTGTGCCCGTTGTGTACCTTCAGTTATAATCAGTTTTATTTTATTACCGCTCTAACTATTATACTTGATCTTCAACTACATAAGAATCATCGTGAAAAATATCCTGATGTTCAGATGTTTTGGAACAACTTAGAGTCATCTGTCGCCAGTTCGAGTCTACAATTAGATAAGGTTTATTACATTCCCATTCTTTGAGTTCCTATCCAATTCAGACTTGTATTGACAAAATATCCTGATTAGGTAAATACGGCTCGAACAGTAATGCATGGCACCGAGAGGTTGATCAAAACCGCCTTCAACGAAGTTGATGGCACACTGAAAGCCGATGTCTCTAATAATGGACCGGTATATTTATATACGTTCTTGTTTTTGTGCAACTTGCTTCTGCACCAATTCTTCTATAAATACTCATTAAAATCCCTATTCACTACATCACTCACGAATGATTGTGAATTTCAAGAGTGAAAGAAAACGACCAGAGAATGTTTTGGTGATGAAATCGTGGGAGAATTCCATATTCAAGATAATAATCAAGAACAATATCGAATCAGAAATGGAGCGGACAATCATGCTGATTCAGAGGATAGTTATGAATCGCAGGACCACCATGATTTAGACATGTCAAATCGGGTAAATTATATCAGAATGGTTGTTGTTAGTCATAAATATTTATTATACTCCCTATTTTTTGTCCTATGAAGGATGCAATTGACGAAATTGACGAGACGAAGGGGGCAATAAATGATGAAGGAAAGGTGGTGGAAGGAAATAAAGTAAATCTCGTTAAACTTTTGGTTTTGGTTTTTTGTGACAATTAATATTCATTTTGTTTAGACAAAACAGCTTAGGCTAAGCGAAGCAAATAGAAAGGAGATTGACGAAGCTTACAAGTTAATGGATAGACAATACATGTGGGAACTATCGTCGGGAAAAGTAATCGAAGAGGAACTATATAAATTAGGGAGGGAGCTGGAGTTTGAACAGTTAGTATTCATATGTGAGATTATGTTTGTGTAAGAATAATTGTTCTAAATTGAAGTTTTGTTCCCTAGTGCTGTTCACTCATTTATCCTGGATATCGATGACGAGTTAGTTGCAGACTGTTTCACCGAGACAGAACTTCGTGAGATAGAGCTCACACCTATCCCAGAAGTTCCCGAACTCTCAGGTGAGGTTAATGATTTTCTGTGTAAATTTATCGGAAAGGTAATAAATATTTCATTTACGTGTTGCTGGCAAACATATGCATAATGCAGTAAGTCATCGAGTTCTCTCTATTTTGCTGTAGACGAACTTAAAGGAAATACGACAACTAATAAAGGAACTAAGTTTCGTATTGATTATGATTGTGAAAAGCATCACGATATGGACTACATATGCCTGGCTTTACATGCGTTGTAAGTTACGGTTTCTACTTTTGTTCTTTGCGATCGTCTTTGTATGATGTCAACAGTGAATTGACCAAAATTACTTATAGAATTAGAGAAATTGAAAGTGGAAAAATCACGGAAGCAAATCTAGAAAACTGGTTTAACTGTCACGTCTGGAGTATGGTCTTTGACCACGCATTCGAAAATATAAAGGCCATATCTGTCGTCAGGTATTTCCTTTCTTTTTTCTAAAAGAGTATCTTCTTTGATTTAATGTGATTTCTTTCTTTTAGAGGTGAAAGCACGAGTGTATCGACAGCCACTCGAAAAAATAAAAAAACGAAAAGGAAATCGGGGAACCGTCGAAAAATTGGTCGTAGAGGAGACTGGATCCTCAGGGCTGTCGGAAATGGTGATAAAAATGAATTTGGGGCGGGAGAGGCGGGTAAAAGTTGGGTAGACCAATACGGAACGAAATATCTTAGAGAAGGAGGGTTGAAACTTCCGAAGGTACTTAAAGACATGCTATTAAACTTAAGGGAGAAAATAGGTTGGAATGAAGAAGCACGCAAAAAAATACAAACCGTAGGAATTATTCATGGAGGTATATAACTGATCTTGATTTCCATCAAAGTGTCCATCGTTGTTAACTAATTTCTTAATTTTTTATAATAGGCCTTATGATGACAATAGCATATCTCGATAACCCAATGGGTTACATCTGCAGATTGCGACGTAGTGATTTGATGGAAGTGCCCGATATGGCCGAAAAATTCGAATCAATTTTGACAATTCTTGCATCGGTCTTGAATATAAAGGTTAGGTTCATAATTTTGTTAGATATGCTTTGACATACAAAGCTGATATATTTGTAAATTTAGTCTGTAGTCGGAGAGACGATAAAGATCGTCCAAAGAAGTGGACAGACTAACAAATCATTTAAGAGTGCCGGGCTTCGGAAACGATCTCGAAATGAAAGTCAGCGCCATTTATATGCGTGCATGTCAACCCCAAAGAAAGCGAGAGTATGTAAAGTGAGTACCGAAAGACCATATCCTGCGTCACCATGCCCTGGATCACCAAATTCAGGGTCATTGATTAATTCTTTAGCGGAATGAGAATTAGTTTAGTTTAATACCAATATCAAGAAAAGTCATTATGTTATTTACAATTAGTGCTGTTGTTAATAAATAATTATAATAGTGCAACAATTAATAATTCTTTAGCTTGATAATAAAGTTTGCCATCCGCATTCCGGCCTTTTTTACGGTATAAGCAAAAGTGATCTGCGTGAACAATTGTTCACCCGCACGTGATTTTTATTTTTTCTAAGTAGCACATCTGCATTTGGCAATTAGTGATGGGGGTCGTTTTTATTGAGATTTCGGGAAATATAAGATATATTAGCTTACCGCCCATGTGAATGGACCAGCTATAGGTAAAGAAAAAATAGCCCGGATTAGATCTATTCCCCTATCATACGTCTTAAATCTAACTGCAGATGAAACCAAATATGTAATGGCTGAAATCTTAACGCATAAGGTTTGACGAGCTCGGACACATTACGGCTAAACAATCTGGGAACTATTTTCCGGGTGGACACGCTGTCCGAGCTCGTCAAATTGCACAGAAGAATGTGGACGCAGTGGTTTAAAACAATCACGTGGAACATGATTTCGGGAGATAAAATTAGCCGGATGTTTCTGCGCAATTTTGACGAGCCCGGACTGCGTGTCCAGACTCTACCATCAGAAAAAATAGGAGATATAATTATCCGTATTTAGTTGCTACGGGAAATCTGATTGGCCGATCATCTCGTGATTTAGCCGAAGGCGCTGTGCATATGCATGTATTAGCATAGCTCAAGATATGACCCTATATAAATCTCCGATATGCTTATAATCGAATAAAATGAATTTTGTATTTTATTAGTGTGTAGTCTCACTAAATCGGCTACAAATCAATACAATCGCTATAAATCATTAAAACTGCTTAACCAGCAAATCCATATAAATTTGAATCTGATATTTATTAGAGTATAATATTGCTAAATCAGCTAAAATCATTAAAAACACTATAAATCAATAAAATTGTTATATTCTGTTATAATCTAGCAAAACACTAATATGGATTTAGATAGTAGAGCCTATTCTAAGCTACATCTAGTAAGCTATGGAGATATAAACTTTGAAAAATATAGAAATATAGTTAATGCAATATGGCCTTTATCACATATGCGTGATCATGAAACACCAGAAATGTGGTATTCTCGTATTCGTGGCCCATTTAGGAAAATACTTGAAGAGAATTCAGAAATCCTTTCTAAGAATGAGTATATTTCAATGTGCGGAAAGTTATATGAAAGTGATAAAGTCCATGCTCATCCAACCAATTATATATATTGTAGTGTATGTGACTCCTTAGTTTTCATTCCTGATACTTCTTTTAGCGCTCGTATCTATCAAGATAACCACTTGAAGAGATGCATTTCTGGAAATAGTATTTCGAATGAACATGCAAGAAGAAAAGAAATTCTCAAATCTATTGATAGAAGAGAATTTAAAATTTGGCAATACAAACAATACATATTACGTGAAGAGGCTCAAATAAATCGTCTTCGCCTAAAGCTTTTCTCTCAATCTACTCCATACTTAGAAAAGAATAAATTGGCATTAGTATCATATGATCATGATTTGAATTTTACAGCTAGCTATAAAAATTATGTACAATCTAAAGCAACTGTAGCAAAAAATACTATGCCAAGTGCTCTAAACTTCGAGCCAGCTTGTATTATACCTACCAGGCAAAAAGTGATTTCACCAACTTCTTATCAATCATCAAATTGCAAAAGTGATACAGGTGAAATATTTATCTCATTTCTATATGCAAAATAGCTAAAAGGCATTGCATTCAGATTGAGGGATGGAACACTAATCACGATTGTCTAACTGACTTGACTGATTCTGAGAAATATTCTACATTACTTTCTTAACATATAACTTAATAATAATACATATTTTATTAGACTATTTTTTTTCACTTCACTTCGCCACAATGTATGTAGGAGAACAGTGTGCGACATAAATAAAACATGTTTCTGATCCTCGTTAAAGTGCATATGATGTAATGGGTGATACTCCACAAATCATCTGTGAAACTATGCTTGTGCGATGAAATAATTTCACACATAAATCGATTCCCAAAATATTTCGAATTTTTCTCTATATATCTGAATAGCATTTATTTATAAGTTTATTACCTTCCAGATTACAGACTATTCCTACTAGATTTCGACCTGAGTATATTTATATGATATTACTAGGTCTTTATTACTGAGTGGTCGAGCAAGTAAAATAAAAAAGTATGTATATGCATATTCCTCAATGCCTTTGCAATGTTGAGATCTACAATGCACATTCTGCATGTCTTACTCTTAAACATAAAATTTTGGCATAAAGTAACTCGCATATTTCTCTTATCTCTTTTCCCCAACATGAAGAGAATGAGAATGTGAGAAATGGTGGCATTTAAAAGGGTGGTATGGGAAATTTATGTTTAGGCTATTGAAAATATTATATTATACGTTTTTATTAACATTTTTTTACTATGTCGAATTTAGCTACTAGAGTTGAAACGCTTTTATTATAAGAATCATTAGATACTCTTTGTGGGACGTCCGTGATTTATTTAACAATAGAGAATAATATTCTACCTCTATATGACAAAGTACGGGAAATAGTTGACTGGACGGTCAATTCATCATTAGCGAAGCTAACAGATCTTGATCGAAGAACTAAGGTATTAGAAATATTACCGCAAATATAGTATAAATAAGATTTTTTATTTCTGTTTCTTACTTTAATGACGACGCTATAGTAGATGTTAGCTTTAGTTTTGATATGTCATATCTGAAGGTCAGGGAGTGTCGGCCCAGAAGATCAATATCTTAGGATGTTGAGGGTTTCTGCTCCTCTCTACTATGCATGACTATCTAGCCAAAATAATGACGATATGCCTTTATAAAAAAAATCCTGAAAATACACGTGTGGCAGGAATTATAATTTATGAATTTAGGATGGGAATAATGTACCAGTACTTTTTTATCACATCTACTGTAGGTGGAGAGTGGATATATCAGTGTTCACAGGCTAAAAGCATTAAAAGTATTGAATATGGATAGGGAATTACCTCTCGATCATACTCAGGAAGAAATAGAAGAAAATCTTAATAAGTTAAAATCTAAACTCAAGGTAATTACTACGCCATTTGAAGATTTTTTGTATTTAAAACTAACAAGCTTTTTTTGCTTAGCATCCTACAACAGAAGTAGACATAAACCTTTATGGCTCACTTAAACAAAGTTTAGCAGGTATAGAATCTTCAGATCTTATATGGCGAGACCCTGAAGCAAGCATGGTTTTAAGTGATAATTCAGACATCGTGAAAAACTTGGGAAGTAGGCAAAAAACATCTTCATGAAACCTCGAGAAAATGTGAAATGTGTCCTACCCGATTCGGTCGCCACTAAGTGTGTTAATTTTGTGGAAGTTTTCAATAATACGAAGAATTCAAGGTCTATGAAGAACATACTTCACAATAAAAAATGGAAAGAAAGTGAAACAGATTTAGTAAAAATAACAGAACATATTCTAGACATAATGTAAGTTGCTTGCTTATTCAAAAATTGAATAAACATCACTGTATTAATCACACTTTCTTTTATCAATAGTGAAATATGGAGCAATTCTGCATTTATGACCAGTACATCCTGCAGTAAGCAGAGTGAAGGGACATATATTGCAGATGTCATAATTCCTTTACTTTGAATGAGTTTGAGCGATCTTTCAAATGGTGCTATTTGTCTAAGCATAGCAGAACATTAAAATATAGCAAGCAAAGCTCAGAGAAATCTAGGAATAATTGAAGAGCAGATGGGAAAAAAACCTAACATTATGGGTTTATTGAAGCAAGACGAAAAAGTTATTGAGCTATTGTATACCGAGTTATCACGTATCGTATGTAGTAACTCGAAAAATCAGATGACAAGGTTAAGTTATGGAGAGAAACATTGGATAGAGCAAGTTATATCAGTGCATTATGTAGACCAGTTGGTAATCAATTTGGTGTTGTGGGAATTCAGGTCACGGGTACAACTATGTATCTGAATATTCTTGTAAATGATATGGCTGGTATACCAAGATACTTCCATCTAGATCATGCGGAAATTCCATTATCCCTCACAATTCACACTTGAAATCTCTTATTCGTTTACTATTAACCTTAAGAAATGTAATGATCGTGAATAAGAGTCTTCTAATGCAGGCATTAGAACAAGCCACCTCTCATCTGTCCTGAAATGTTAACCCAAATCCTACTGTCTCCACATCTTCATATAACAAATAGTTAATATAGAGATTATTCATGTATTTTAGCATAGAAACATTGTATATTTTTCATATATCAATAAAGTGCTCTGGTGGCCAATTATTTTTACATATTCATCTGTATTTTTTTCGTATGAGAAATGCATCAGATAATAAAATTTTCTTGGCAAATTTCAGCTGAGGCATCCTGATCAAAAACACATGATTTGATCGGAGAAACTGATCTACCAGATATGATGCAATTCGTGATATTGGCATGAAAATTTATAGTGCTATATGCTATATGGGAAGTTTGCTAGGAAAATGGGGTTCTGAGACATTTTTTAAAAAATTGAAATTTTTGATACATATTAATC